ACCTGAGTAATTGCAGGTGTGTCCTCAAATAGTATAAACAATTGTGGTGGGATAAACTGAAGAACTGTAAATTGCCAGAATGAAAATGAGGCCTGTTGTTCAGTGGGTGGCAGTGGAGGGTACATCATAAGGTAGGCTGGTAGCTCCTGGAAAAGGAAGGATTTTTGCTGACACTGTGGCATTCTCTTCTGAGCCTTCTGTCTTTCTATCTTTTTCTCTTGATTGGCACTCAAGGCTTATGCTACAATAAATTGAGATTCAGTTTCAGTATGGAGGATGCTGAGTTCAGGTTCAGGAATGTTCACTTATCTCTGCTAGAGTCTCCAGAGGTCTCCTCTGCCTTTCAGCTTCCTGTTTTAAGCTTCTGTCCCAGACATCTTCACTGAAGTACCCAGCAATCACCACCTCAAAAAGGAAATGGCACATTGACAACTTGATCTTCAAAACAAATCTTGTTTACACTTTTTCCTGCCCTTCCTTCCCTCCCTTCCTTTCCAACCTTTGTCTTCCTAATTTCCAGCTATGTACTTTTTCACAGACTGCCTCTTTTCTAACTTGGAGAACTCAACTACAGTAGTCTCCCTTACTTACCTTTGGCATTATTTCCCCCTCCTCTTCTCCCCTCCTTTCCTGTCTCTCCCCATTGTATTATTCCTTATTTGCACCTATTTACATTCTCACTGACATCATGTTGCACTTTTAGCTTCTTTCATTCCTTGGAGATCTCAGAACATCAGACTGCCTATGCCTGAAGAAGGGTGCTTGTGCCCAAAAGCTTGCCAAGAACTTTTTCCCAACTACTCAGTTGGTCTAGTAGAAGATATCACATCTCCACAAAGAAGTCTGTCTGTCTATATCCTTAGACTAATACAGCTACAACCAATACCTCTGCAAATCTTATTAAAGGCACTTGAAAAGTGGAAAGTTTGAAACTCAGAATGATTTTACATAGAAAATATTTTTATTTTAAAAAGTAAAGTGCCACTAGCTAGTAAAAGCTTGTTTTACTGTCTGCAGCATCATGGATAATACTGAACAGCTACCTCTTGAGTTGGAATTCACACTTTCCATTTGGTTACTTTCATCACTACCCCATTTGCTAATGAGGAAGAAGTGTGTGTATATATATAAATCAGTCACTCGTAATCTAAATATTATATATGGATAGCTAAACTACTTGAAATTTTACACCCATGTTTCCCAATGATTATTGTATTATTCTAGTTGATAGTTAAAATACTCCCTACTGAATATTCGACAGACAGACATGTTGTGGACCTATGGAATGCCAAACATTTCATTTATGACTAAGGCTTTGAACTGCATACCATTTGGTGAGTGGGCAGTCTAATTTCTATTTGAGCCATCCATCAATTGGTCTGAGCAACCTAAGAATAGAATGTCACATACAGTGTTAATTAAAATTCTACAACACACGTTTGACTTAAGCACAGTGTTTCATTAGTTTGGGAGCTACTGGAAAAACAGCAGTAATTATGCAGTGTTAAGTTATGTATGTTTGTCTTGGGAAGTCAGTAGAAAAAAAATTTGCTGTTAAGGTATTTTCTTCATTAACTCATGCCTTTATTAATTAATGCAACTATCATACTCTCTAGAAAGTCACATCTTTTGGGCCTGGCTCACTGGTTTTGAATGTGCTGGATTGGCTGTATTGATTACAGTATCACATATTGTTCTCTCAGGACTACAGTCTTATTTAGTGCACCTGTCTGACAGTGGAGGAACATTGCTGGGTGGATCCCACTCTCTTTTTGGTTTAGTGAAGGACCGGTGTCTTTATTGTCCTTGTATCATGCACTCCAGATGTTTTATGATGTTTAGTGAAGGGGTGTGCTAGAAGAGGAAAAATCCTCCTGGAGCTAAGACTCTGTGCTGACCCCACAAGGTTTAAGTTCTATTACACCAACTCTTAACAGAGGACTTGTAACAGCTTGGGAAATCTGAACCTTTGTGTCTCCATCTTTAAAATAGGAAAGGTAATACTTCATAGAGCCATTGAAGGTGTGCAGATGGATGGAACTTTCTGTAAGCTATTTTTTTTAATATTGGAACCTTATCTTGCAGCAATTTTTGTTTTGCTCTATGCAAAATTGTTCTCTCGGAAGAAAAACAAGTTTGCCTTGCTTGGAGCATGCAGCCTCTAGAGTCAGATAAACAAAGGGGAAGTGAACAAATTAGGAAAAGCATTTCAGTAAGGAATTAGTGTGTTAGGATTCTTTTGTCAATGGTGGAAAGTGTAACGGCCATGCATGCTAGTACTCATTTATTCATATTCACCTTTGAGTGCCTCAGTATCAGGGAATTGACTTTCATTGATTGATTTCTGAATGATTTGTTTGTTACTTGGTTTCTGTAGTATGGAAAAGACATCCTCTTTGGTTATGTGTTCTAAAACATTAGCAGTTTGTTGTTCCAGAGTGTTAGTGAAACCTTGGCAGCAAATCAGAGCAGTGGAGTAAGCAGCCTAACTAGGACAGCAAAGGCATTGTTCTGCTGCTCACTGAAGGAAGTCCTTTTAATGACTGACTGTTGGCTCTGCACCAAAAGCACCTTATTGGGGCTTCATTTGGATGCAAGGATAATGTTGTCAAAGCAATTAAAGAACAAGAGCAGAATATAAAAGAGCAAGGCTTATGAGAAAGTTGTATTTTTTGCTTACAAGCAGTGATAATTAAGTCCCAGAAAAAAGCCACCACTAAGAAAACCAGACCACTGTTTAAACAGTGATAAAGGTCTGATTTCAAATGACCAAAACATTTAGAATAAAAGCTGACTCTGTCTTGCTATGTCCAGTGTGGCGCACAGTCGTTACGTCAGGGCCTCATTACACATTGTACTTTGAGCTGCTCATATATTGATCACTGTTAGTGTTAGGTCACACCTTAAAGCTAAATACCTTCTCTGACTGACCCTACCTGCACAGTGTGACTTGCCACACTGTTGGTGAGCAGGGGTCTGACTAGGAGCTACAGCTGTGAGTTGCCACTACAGGGCTGGTGAGCCAGGACAGGCTTTTACCCCTGGTCTGGGGGGGGAGGGGGGAGAAGTGGGTTGAGGGGGGTGGGAACATGAAGCTGGAAGGTGGAGAGTTAATACAACAGGTGGGGGAAGAGTGGTGAAATGAAGGAAATCAGCCACTGAAAGATAAAATAAAAAGTAAAAAAAGAAAAAAAGAAATAAAGAGGAAGTAAATTAAAGAAGGTCTCGTGTTTTAATTGGGATTTGGCATTTGGGTGTGGAGGGTGCTGGTCATCCTTTCCAGGGTGCTTGGGAAGTGGGATTGGTGAGGCAAGGCACTTTTGGGGAAGCTACTACCTCTGCTTCAGGAAAAAAGCCCCAGCTCATGGGGACCCAGTCTGGCCCCCTACCTTGTTCTGCCCTCACCCCCAGATGCTGCTCCTGGACCTGTCCATGCCCTGCAGCCTGGCTATCTGGCATGTGTTCTGCAGGCTGTTTGTGTGGGGTTGCACCCCTGCGGGTGGGAAGGTTGGACCCCCAGGGCCGGGGGGTATGCTGGCTTGGTACCAACACTGCCTCCTGGGCGGTAGAGTTCAGGGGATGGGAAATTTGTACACGGAACAGCGGAGTGAGCGAAGGGACACTGTATACTGGGATGCTGGAACGGTGCAACTTGGGCAGTTCATCTGTGGGGAGTGGCCACACACTAATGGAACTTGAGCTGGGTAACATGGATCAAAGATAAACCTTCCCTGAGTAGCATAACTTTAAGCATCCTAAAGTGTGCTTAAGATTAGTTTCAGGTTAGTGTGGACAATCCAGGGGTTAAGAGCTCCAAGAGTATCTAAAATGACTGTGTAACACGGCCCTAGGAACAGTGTGTGGTACACTGAGGGCACTGCAGCAAAGACAAAATGTAAAAGAAGGTTTGAGAAAAACCCTAACTTTAAATTTCTTCCTTACATTAGTCAAAGTTCATAATATTTTGTTTGATCTCTTTCACGCTCAACCGTGATGTATTTCATGACAGTATCTTCCAAGTACCTCCATTTCAATCGATACCATGTTGCTTAAGTCTTCTATTTGCAGTGTGCCTCAGTGCTTTTTGATGCAACTTCAAATCACTATAGGATGCATTGAAATAAGAAGAGTAAAGTTGTTAATACCAAAGTTTGACATGATTTGTTAAGCTGAGGTATGATATTGAATTGGAGTTGTCATGCATGCAGGGATACATAGCTTTAGGTAATGGAAAAAAAACCCCTTAATACTTTTTACCAAAACTTTATAAATATGAGATGGGAAAATTAACCTTTTCTTTACCTCATTGCTTTCTTTCCAATTATTATTTTGACATTTTTTTACAATTAACATTATGATCTTAAACATAAATCCTAGACTTTTCCTCTTGACATTTTTGGTATAAAAATAGAATGAGCATTGTAGTTCATTATATTACATCTTACTGGTTTTACTTGATTTCATTTTTTTAAAAATATTTCATTCCCAAACCCACATTTTGTATTGGCATTCTCTGCTTTAATAATAGTGAAAATTCAGATTTGGAGGTTGTAAAATTATTGGGGTTTTGATGATTTAATTTCTGAAGTCATCTTTTTTATTTGTTATTGAGTTTCTAAGTTCTGTTGTCACTGTGGTCTAGTCTTCTTGATTTCTGTCTGAAGGCTTTAGCTAGCATCTATTATGACTTTTTATTATCTATCATTATTTTTTATTAAAAAAGTGTGAATAGTTTTAAAATTCAACAGTTGTAAAATGCTTTTACATTAATAGCTAAAGCTGTGTCTACACACACAATTTTAGTTTGAGTATTCTGATGTATGAGGATTTTGATATCCATCTGACCAGCCTTATTATATTCATTGTAGTAAGTGGTTTGTAAATATTTAATATGCCCTAAAACCACAACTTCATAAATAAATAAATGAGCTTATCTATTGTTTCTGGTCATGTTTTTTACCATCTGAAACTAATTATGTTTCTTTCTTTATGTTTTAAAGGATCAGTTTGATAACTTAGACAAGCATACCCAATGGGGCATTGACTTCCTGGAGAGATATGCAAAATTTGTGAAAGAAAGGATAGAGATTGAACAAAACTATGCAAAACAATTGAGGTAAGTTGTTGTCTCTATAAAGAAAAAAAAACTTATGCAGCAACAGTTGCTTTGAATTATGTTATCAGTTAGCAGATGGATATGCATGGTTCTGTGGTTCAAAGTCTGTTTTTTATTCATCATATGAATTAAATCATAGTTGCTTTTTACAACACACAGACTTTTCTCAGCTTCGGTGTTATGAGTGTGGAGTACAGCCTAAATCTTTGAACTGGAAAGATGGATTCAATGGGATCTTGGTACTGTTTTGCAAAAACCACTGATACGTCTTGACTGGTTATTATCTTTCTTTTTTATAAATGAATATTTCATAATGTTAGCTAGATCACTTCTTTATCCTCTGTTCAACAAAGTTTAGCAGCAGAAGGGTGAAATAGTCATTCCTCTCAGAGCTTTGTTGCTTTGCGTTAGAATTTGGACTGCTATTATAGACCTTGGCCATCTGTGTCTTTGGAGGCCCTTTTCCAGTCCCCTGAATACACGTCTTTCAAGTGCCTGGTCTGTCTCTCCAGTGTGTTTTGGGATAAGAACCTACAGGCCACTTGAGTCCTTAATATCCTCAAGTGTTTTCCCTTGGGAACCTGTAGACCAGTGGTTCTCAAACTTTTTTTTGCGGACCACTTGAAAATTGCTGAGGGTCTTGGCGGACCACTTAATAAACTTTTGTTTCATTCTATAAATCAAAGCACACAACTCATATTTTAATATCAGTAGTCTTACCTTACAAGTACAGATATTTTCGATTGTTCCGCAACCTTTCTGTGGACCCCCTGAATGGAGCTTGCAGACTAGAGTTTGAGAACCTCTGCTGTAGACTGTTAATAGCTTGTTGTGATTACAGAGACAGTGGGCATGTCTACATGTTCATTAATGTGCAGTAGTACTGCGTATTTAGTTTAGTACTTGCTTAATGAAGCACTAACTAAATGCGCAGTAGCTAGAGTTACTGAGCAGTAATGCCGGTGCATGGTTTTTTAGTGATGCTTACTGCGCAGTAGCATATTAGAATGGTTTTTTGCCTGGCATGCTACTGGTTATTAGACTATCATGCATTAAACGTCTCATGTAGACGTGCCCAGTTTCTCCAGAACTAGTGGCCTTTATCTTGCTGACAAGTGTACAGCAACGGATATAAGAGACCCCTGTGTATATATACTTTCTGAGCTATGCTTGCCTCTCCTGTCAAGCTGCCTTAGCCATGAAGGTGGACCCTGTTCCCTTAGGGATCAGTTGCAGCTTGCTCACTGCAGCCTCTGTCATAGCCTGTCAGTCTGCACTTACTGACAACTTCCTCCTCCCTCTCTCAAAAGCTAATTTATTGATGTCCCTCTTCCTATCACTGGCAAAAACAACTCATTTCCAAGGGTTGGAGATGAGGAGCCCCTCTTCCTTTCTTTCAACCTGGCTTTTGTTTTTTAGAGAATGTTCCTTGTCTAAGCCAGTGCTTTACCTCTTCTTTCTGGTGTCTTTAACAACCCCTTTTGATCTGGCACTGTGGATTCAGGCAGGATACTATTATGTAGATACACTATAGGCATATTTTATTTGATCAAAAAACCCACAAATATTTCCCAGTTCTCCACATCAGGAACATAAGGATTTCAGAAAAGAGCGAGTGTTTCAGAGTGCAGCATCATTCCATGGCTCACTGTTGGCCCGTTTTGATCAGGTTGTCTGTTTAAATGAATAAACCAACTTATGTCCAAAATCAAAATCTTTTTTTCCATGCAGTGTGAACAAGTGCTCTGTCTGCTTAAGTAACTGAAGCTTTATTTCTGACCACCTGCTAGTTGGGAGCCACCTTACTGATTTCATAGTTTCATAGTGCTTAGGGTTGGAAGGGACCTAAACAGATCATCAGGTCCAACCCCCTGCTTCAGGCAGGAACAAGTGCTGGGATCATAACACCCCAGCCAAATATCCAGCCTCCTCTTGAAGACCCCCAAGGTAGGAGAGAGCACCCCCTCCCTTGGGAGTCCATTCCAGAGCCTGGCACCCTTAACCGTAAAGTAATGCCTCCTGATTTCCAGACTGAATCTTCTTTCTAGCAATTTGTGGCTGTTATTCCTAGTAACCGCTGGTGGTGCCCAGGGGAACAGAGCCTCCCCTGATTTCTGCTGGTCCCCCCAGTGAGTTTGTAAACAGCCTGCCGGTCCCCTCTCAGCCTTCTCTTGTCGAGGCTGAATAGATTCAGGCCCTATAGCCTCTCTTCGTGGGGCCTGGCCTGCTGCCCCTTGACCATGCGAGTGGCCCTCTCAAGGTTAGCCACATCCCTGTTGAAGTACGGCACCCAGAACTGGATGCAGTACTCCAACTATGGCCTGACCAACGCCGCATAGAGGGGAAGGATCACCTCCCTGGACCTGCTTGCGATGCATCTGTAGATGCACAACAAGGTGTGGTTAGCCTTACTGACCGCTTGTGCGCGTTGGCGGCTCGTGTTCATCCTGGAGTCAACAATGACTCCAAGATCCTTTTCTGCCACCGTGTTGATAAGAAGGGTGTTCCCCAGTCTGTAGGTGTGTTGCTGGTTCCTTCTCCCTAGATGCAGTACCCTGTACTTGTCTGCATTGACTTGTCTGCATTTCATGTGTGTTCCTTTCTTAATTTTACAATGACATTTCTAAGCTATAAAGCATTTTACTGTATATTGAGGCCAGTTAATTTTTCATTGTTTGAGCATATTTACTGAGGAGAAAATATAAAAATATGTGTTTTGGTAAAACTCATGTTATTAAAATATGTTGTCAGTGAACTAGACCAGCGCTTCCCAAACTGACATTGTGCACCACCAATTTAAAATGATACAACCTTAAGTACCATCAGCAATTTTTTCAGTTCATCCTTAAGTACTACCAGAAAATTTTTGTCTTATAAAGTAATTATAATAAATCTGTTAATGTGTACCAGTGACAAGGTGTCTGTACCACTGGTGGTACATGTACTACAGATTGGGACCTGCTGAACTAGAGAATAAGGATGTTGTTGATCATTGCGAAGTTCCAAGAATAGATGCAGCTATACACAAAGTATATTAAAAAATGAATTACACTTGTATGCATATTTCATTTAATTTATAATGAGAAAGAAGTTGATTTTCTTATATGCCATGGGGTTCCCACTGAATCTTTGGAACTGAATTATCAGATGTTGTTTTTGTTACAAGTATCCATTGTTGATCAATAGGGGAGAGGGGAAGGTCTGTTTTGTTTATTTCCTCCTTGTGAATTACAGACAATTCCAGAGGTTGACTCCCTTTGTGTTCTGTGCAGAACATTACCTTTCACATTAACACTGTTGTGTGTGGGGGTTGCAACTTTTGATTATGCTATGCAAATTTTCTAAATTTGTTCAGCTTCTTCAGCCTGGACCTGAGGAGGAAAAAGCCACTCTAGTTGTGGAGTCTAGGTGAGCTCTGCCCTTCATTAGTGAGATATGATCTCTGGAAACATCTAGCTGACCTGAGTCAAATAAAGACTTTTTTCATGAATTGTGATGTTGCTCAATCTCTGCTGAAAAGCGCACATACTGTCTTGATTTGTTTTTCAAATAGCAGGTTAATGTATATTTTTAATCATGACATTTACCTAAATTGCTATTTATAGAAACTTGGAGAAGTTATTTTAATTCTCTCTAGCAAGCTTAAACATTCACTTGTGAATGCAAATTATGACCATATGTGTTTGTTTCTCAAGTCAGTTTTTCTTTGATGGGAGTTGAAAATGTAGGCTGCTGATTATTATCCAAATGTAGATGTGGCACATTTTTTAGAGATATTTTGAGAGCCAAAGCATGAGCTCTTAATATTCCAAAGAAATTCTGTTTTGTAAACTCAGCTACCACTACAGCATTTTCTAGGACTGATACAGTCTTTTAAATTGAATATTTTCTCTGTTAAGTTATTAAATTAAACATGGTGTAATCATGAACATTGTTCATCAGAATGATTCATTGGTTGAACACCAATCTCTTTCAGTATATCAGCAGGTCTGGACCTGCAGAGAGCAAACCAGGACAGCCAAGGCTGCGATAGAACTCCAGCTAGCTACAAATATCAAGGATAATAAAAAGTCCTTTTTTTAGATATGTGGGGAGCTGGAGGAAAAACAAGGGCAACATTGGACCCCTGCTAAACCGGATGGGACAACTGACAACCGATGCCCAGGAAAAAGCAAACTTGCTAAGTGGGTACTTTGCATCAGTTTTTCATCAGTCCCATGGGACGCCCCTGCCCACTATGGGTCAGGGAGGCCTGGGTGAGGGAGATTCCTTGCCCTCCATTGAAGCTGACCTTATGAAGGAACACCTTGACAGGCTGGATACCTTCAAGTCAGCCGGCCCTGATGGGTTACACCCCAGGGTACTCAAGGAGCTGGCAAGCATCATAGCTCAGCCCCGGCACAGATCTTTGAGAACTCTTGGCTCTCTGGTGAAGTGCCTGAAGATTGGAAGAGGGCCAATGTAGTGCCTATCTTCAAGAAAGGGAGGAAAGTAGATCCGCCAAACTACAGGCCCATCAGCCTGACCTCTATCCTGGGGAAGGTCTTGGAAAAGATTATCAAAGAGGCCATCCTTAACAGACTAGCTGATGGTAATATCCTGAGGGATAGCCAGCATGGGTTTGTTGCAGGTAGGTCTTGCTTGGCCAATCTCATTTACTTTTATGACCAGGTGACCTATCACCTGGACAAGGGAGAAGAGATTGATGTCATATATCTTGACTTTAAAAAAGGCTTCGATTTGATATCCCATGATCACCTCTTGGCAAAATTAGCTAACTGCGACCTTGACCTCACCACAATCTGCTGACTGGGGAATTGGCTCTGTGGTAGGACTCAGAGGGTGGTGGTTGACGGAAGCCAATCATCTTGGTGCGCAGGCACCATTGGGGTCCCTCAAGGCTCTGTCCTAAGGCCTATACTGTTTAACATTTTCATCAGTGATGTGGACATTGGTGTCAGAAGTGGACTGGCCAAGTTTGCCAATGACACCAAACTCTG